CAGCTGCAAGGCTGCTGTGTCTGGAGTAGAGCTCTGATTGGGAGAAAATGGGACCTTGATTATAAAATGGGTAGTGACAGGGTCAATGCACTAAGAAACCTTGAGCCACGAGATCCTCCAAAACCATACGAGCCTGAAGAAGTAGCCCATTTCTCCTTGTTACAGGTTAGTGCTCCCAGCCCTTGCTGAAGACAGCTCGAATGCATAGTGTAAGGCAAGTGCAGAGAAAAAGAGAGCAAGCTGGGCAGTCAGGCAAGAAAAGGAAATTTATTAGAGGGAAAAGAGAGGGTGACTGGCTCTTAAGGAGAACCAGCGTTCTCCCTTTCTGACAGAGTCCTTCTTATACCCCACAAATGAAAAATTCTCTGAAGGGATGGTCACGTAGCCGGAGGTCTGGAATCTGGTGATCTTGCAGCTTTAAGAAGATAAGCACCAGTGAGATAACAGGATGCCATTTGGGCTATTTGGTCAGTCTCACAGATCACTCTGATTTTATTCTTCATTTGCAAGGTCAACATAACAAGCCATCTTATCAATGAGACCCCATGTGGGCCCTATCACATAGACCATCATCTTGCCAGACAACATAGGCCCACCCTGGGATCTCACTCCACCTCCTCTCTTGGCCACCAGAACAACAAGTAACATCAAGTCACAATATCATCAGCCCAGGGAAGTGCTGGACCTGCTACAAGAGGCCTAAGTGCCACAGGGGATACCAGATCGAGCCAAACCACACCAAGATCCAGGAAGGAATGTATAGGGCTGCTGCTGCTGCTGCTAAGTCGCTTCAGTCGTGTCCGACTCTGTGCGACCCCATAGATGGCAGCCCACTAGGCTCTGCCGTCCCTGGGATTCTCCAGGAAAGAACACTGGAGTGGGCTGCCATTTCCTTCTCCAATGCATGAAAGTGAAAAGTGAAAGTGAAGTCGCTCAGTCATGTCCGACTCTTTGCGACCCCATGGACTGCAGCCTACCAGGCTCCTCCATCCATGGGATTTTCCAGGCAAGAGTACTGGAGTGGGGTGCCATTGCCTTCTCCGATGTACAGGACTAGATACTGAATATTCTGTCCAAAGAAAAAAAAGAGTATTAAGTTAAAAAATAATAATAAAGTCAAATTGAAGAAGGAATTCATAGGGCCTGGACTCCATCTCAGGCCTGTTCATGCTGATCATGCTCGGCCACCTCTCCAATGGACTCTGAACTCTGTCTTTAGTGCCTATGGAAACGACAACAGAAGGATAAGACCCCCTCCGGACAGGGGAATCTTGAAGATCGTATCCAGGTTACTCCTTGCCTAAGAGAACACATACACTAATCACCCCTTCCTCCAGACAGGCCATAAGTTTTTCTGTACCTGTCGGAGTGTAACCTCGTGCTTATTGATTATTGGCTAATTGTTTAACTGTCTGAGCACATAGCACATGAGTGATGGGGTTATTGGGATTGTATTTACCCTTCCTTAGTTTATGTAAGTCTCAAGGAATTTGGGGTGGTGGGTTCGGACACGTACACATGGGGTATAAAAGGTTTTCACAAATGCTGGTCAGGGTCCTTGGCTAATAGGAGACTCTGCCTTGGGCCCCCCCGGTGTAATAAACTGCACTCCACTATCTGCATTGTCCTTCTGAGTGAGTTTGTTTCCTGGAACGCGTGGCTACAACAAAATAAGGAAGAATTTATAGGCACAATAGTTACCTCTGCTTGCCACACAACAGGTCAACAGAGAGGACTGCAGACTAAAGTTTCAAAGTAACCATCTTATAAAGGTCTGGATGCCAGAATCTTTTATAGGACACAGACTGGGGGACATGAGAAAATAAAACAAAATGATTGTTAATCTTGCAAATTTCTCCTAAAATAGTCAGCCTGGGAGGGTGGGAGGATGTGTTAATTTCTTCCTTCCTGTAGCCACCCACAGGTGAACAGGGCCAGGATATTTCCCTGAACAAAGGCACTTGGTTTAGCATACAGGCAGAGGGACAGGGTTCTCCGAGGAAGGCCATTGTGGCATAAACAGTATCCTTTAGGTGAACAAAAGCAACAGGAAGCAAAGGTTAAAGTAAAAGAAACAGCTCCAATACTTAGATTTTGTTCTTCGTATAACACATGATGGAGTAGAAAAGACACCAAGCTTGGCCTCAGACGGGTTGGTTCAGAGTGTGTATCCAAGCCAATATGGAGCCCAGCTGACTTACAGCCCCCTGTAATCGTGGCCCTGAAAGACAGTGAGGAGAAGCCCTTCAATGGTCAGAGCTGCGAATGAGAGTCATCCACTGTGTGTGTAAACAGCCCAGGCAGTCATATGGGCAGTGGCAAAAGACTTGCCTAATTGACCAGGGGCCTGGGAAGGAAAAGATCAAAAGACTGGGGGAAAGGAGGTCAGGAAGGGGCAGGAATTCACACTGAATGAAATCAACACACATTGCAGGTGCACGTTCGCCATCACAGCTCTCAGGTCGTGGCCAACACCACCATCCAAGGGCTTTCAGTCTTAGATTCACCAAAATGGACTCTATGGTACATCGTTTTGGTCCAAGGAACAGAGGAGGCTTTGCTGGTAGTCCAGCGGTGAAGAATCTGCTGACCAATGCAGGAGACACAAGTTCAATCCCTGCCCCAGGAAGATCCCACATGCCACGGGGCTAGCAAGTCCTTGTGTCACAACTACAGAGCCCATGCTCTAGAGTCCAAGAGCCAGAACAACTGATCCCTTGCCCTGAAACTACTGAAGCCTGCCTGCATGCCTGGAGTCCCTGCTCCACAACTGGAAAAGCCACTGCAATGACAAGCCCGAAAGGAAAGTAGCTCCCTCTCTCCACAACTAGAGAGAGCCTGAGTACAGCAATGAAGACCCAGGATGACCATTAATAAAAATAAATAAATAAAGCAACAGAGGTGCAGGAATGGGCAGATGGCTGTTGGACCCACCAGGTGTAGCTCACATCACGAAGTCCAGAAATGCCAGCCTCATAGAGCAATGGGAAGGCGTGGTTTCAAGATATTATCCTGCAGTGCTATCCTTCAAGATGTGATATGTACCCTACATCAATGAGCATTTTATGGTGCTCTGTACCCAGCAAATAGAATACATGGGTTCAGGAACCAAAGGATGGAAGTGGGAATAGTCCATTGACAGTCATTCTCAGCAATACCCTTGCTGGGAACTTAGAGAAGTCATGGAGGAACAAGGGTGCACTTTGGTGGATCCATCTTCAGGACCAAGGTACTCACTCCCCAGCTTCCAGAGAGCTGACTGCTGCTGGGTCCTAACGACATCGCTCTCTGGGACCTGTCTTCAGCCTAAGGGAGTTGCTGAGCCCAGGTTATACCCTCTCTAAAGGAGAGGAGGACTGTTCATGCCTGGTGTCCCAAAGCCTGGCTCCCTTGCCTCAGAAAAGCCTTCTGAGCTCCAAAGCTCACTACAGATCGACTGAGGGCTCCTTTGCAACTCTATCCACACTGAACTTTTCTCTCTGCCCAGGCCTGCCTTTCCCCTCCTTATGTGTGTCAGAATAACATGCATTCTCCAATAAGCCTCCTACATATAAATCTCCACTTGAGATTGCATTTCAGGAGAACACAACCTAGGACATGTAGTGAAGAGGCAGAAGAGACAGACAGGAAAGAGAAGAAGGCCGAGGAAGGGAGCATTAATGAGAGAGTGACAGGGGTGGGCAGCTGGACCCAGATCTTTCTGGGTGTCCTCTGAAAGCCTCCATCGACTATACCTCAGAAAAGCCCAAATCAGGAATTTTAAAAAAAATAAAAAACACAGGACGCCTATCCACCAATTCCCTTCCCTCTATGTTTGATGACTTCCCCTGGGAATTAAGTCTCTGGTATTTCTGACCTGCCTCCCCACCCCCAACAAGTGCTCCCAGCACCCTTCTTCGGCTGGGGAACACCCCCCGTCAAAGAAACAAAGATGCTGGGGTTAAGGCACCCTGGCCATGGATGGAAGATGGAAGCTGTCTGCTAAAGCTTCTGCTGTTCACCTGAGTGGGCGACAGTGTATGAGTGGGGCAGAGACATCATCTGCTAACAGGTGGTGATAGTACACTTCAGGGTTGTCATGCGGATTAAATAAGATTTCACATGTCTACAGTCTTAGTATGGGGCCTGGAAGAAAGCAAAGATTCAACAAATGGTCATCTCCAACCTCTTTATAGTTGACCCTTCAACAACATGGGTTGAACTGCACCAGTCCACTTCCACACGGATTTTTTTTAATATATATAAATATATACAGTACTACATGATCCATGGTTGGTTGAATTCACAAATATGGAACCCACAGATACGGGAAGGCCAACTAAGGGACTTGAGCATTGTCATATTTTGGTATCTGCTGGTTGGTCCTGGAATATATACAGGCTTCCCTGGTAGCTCAGCTGGTAAAGAATCCAACTGCAATGTAGGAGACCCTGGTTCAATTCCTGGGTCGGGAAGATCCCCTGGAGAAGGCATAGGCCACCAACTCCAGTATTCATGGGCTTCCCTGGTGGCTCAGATGGTAAAGAATCTGCCTGCAGTGAGGAAGACCTGTGTTCGATCCCTGGGTTGTTAAGATTCCCTGGAGGAGGGCATGGCAACCCTCACCAGTATTCTTGCCTGGGGAATCCCCATGGACAGAAGTGCCTAGTGGGCTACAGTCCATGGGGTCACAAAGAGTCGGGCATTACTGAATGACTAAGCACAGACACACATATATATAAATTTAAAAAGCCAGCAAGGGGCCAGGGATGAATATATACTTTAATATATAATATTAATATTATATAATTATATATTAATATAATATTAATATACATATTCATCCCTGCCCCCTTGCTGGCTTTTTTTTCTTCATGTAGGTAAATATGAAGGAAAGGATTTTTAAATGAAATAGCGGGAGCCTGTTCGCGTCGACTGACCAGAGTCCGCGAATTCAATGCTCCGAGCCGGTCCGGACGGCCCTGATCCCAGCTTTCTATCCTTTGAAAACACTAAGAATAATGTCCCTGCATCAGTTTTTACTGGAGCCAATCACCTGTCATGCCTGGAACAGGGATCGTACCCAGATCGCCCTTAGCCCCAATAATCACGAAGTCCACATCTATAAGAAGAACATTGGCCAGTGGGTGGAAGCTCATGAACTCAAGGAACACAGTGGACACATCACAGGTATCGACTAGGCTCCCAAGAGTGACCGCATCGTCACTTGCGGGGCTGACCGCAACGCCTACGTCTGGAGTCAGAAGGATGGTGTCTGGAAGCCAACCCTGGTGATCCTGAGAATTAACCGGGCGGCCACTTTTGTCAAGTGGTCCCCGCTAAAGAACAAGTTTGCTGTGGGTAGCGGAGCACAGCTCATCTCCGTCTGTTCCTTCGAGTCTGAAAATGACTGGTGGGTGAGCAAGCACATTAAAAAGCCCATCCGCTCCACGGTCCTCAGCTTGGATTGGCATCCCAACAACGTCTTGCTGGCCGCGGGATCCTGCGACTTCAAATGCAGAGTGTTTTCTGCCTACATTAAAGAAGTGGATGAGAAGCCAGCCAGCACGCCCTGGGGCAGCAAGATGCCTTTTGGTCAGCTGATGTCCGAGTTCGGTGGCAGCGGCACAGGCAGCTGGGTGCACGGGGTCAGCTTCTCGGCCAGTGGCAGCCTCCTGGCCTGGGTCGGCCACGACAGCACCGTGTCCGTTGCCGACGCTTCAAAAAGCGTGCAGGTCTCAACTCTGAAGACAGAGTTCCTGCCCCTCCTGAGTGTGTCGTTCATCTCAGAGAACAGCGTCGTGGCTGCTGGCCACGATTGCTGCCCCATGCTCTTTAACTACGACGACCGCGGCTGCTTGACCTTTGTCTCCAAGCTGGACATCCGTAAACAGAGCATCCAGCGCAACGTGTCGGCCATGGAGTGCTTCCGCAACATGGACAAGCGGGCCACGACCGAGGACCCCAACACGGCGCTGGAGACGCTACACCAGAACAGCATCACCCAAGTGTCTATTTATGAGGTGGACAAGCAAGACTGTCGCAAATTTTGCACTACCGGCATCGACGGAGCCATGACCATTTGGGATTTCAAGACCTTAGAGTCTTCCATCCAGGGTCTTCGGATAATGTGAAGCTGAGCGTGCCTCCAGACCCAGCATGAGGACGGGCCGGCTGCGCCGGGCACGGGGAGGGGAGCCCGCCGCCAGCAAACACTGAAGACGCACATGGCGCAAACCTCCTTGTGTGTTTCGTTTGAACATAATTGGTGAAAGTGTTGGTTTTTTTAAAGCAGCAGTGATTTGGGTTTTGTTTGGGGGGTTGTTTTGTTTTGTTTTGCAATTTCATTCCATTCTTGACCAAAGCTTCTCTTTAAGTAGTTTATTATGGAAACTTGTCAACACTAACTTAAAGGAAGGAGTGGGGAGGTATGTAAATTGTCTGCTGAAAAACATTAAATAAAAACACTGAATATGTAAAAAAATAAAAATAAATGAAATAGCAATAGGGTATCAGAGCCCCTAAAAAGTAAATTTTACCAGCATATGCACACAAAATGTTATCAATGCAGCCTCCTCACAAATATTAAAGAGGCAGTTAACGGTATCTGCCAGGCGGCCTTTCTTCTAACTGACCTAACATAAACAGCACTTGCCCCTGCCACTGAGCAATCAGCTCTTTGCAAGCCTGTATCATAGCAACATCCAGCTGAACTTTCAAGAGTACTGAAGCATCCTTTTGGTGGTTGTCCTAGCAGCAAGATGGAACCGAAGGAAAATCCCCGCTGAGAGATCAGTGTACTGGAACTCAGGGGCCTGAATGTCCCACACACTTGACACATGACCTTGACCAACCTCTTGATTCCTCTAAACCTTGATTCTCTCGCCTGTAAACCAAGCCCTTGGACTCTATTTATTTGTTTATTCATTTAACAAATATTTGCTGAGCACCTGATAGGTGCCAGACTCAAAGCCACTGAGAGAGGGGAAGGACGGTAGCCAATCTCCAGGGTTTTCCCCCAAATTTCACTGGGACTTGGAGGGGCACATGTGCAGAAATACGGAAATATGTCCCCAAACTAGCATTTCCCACATGCCATTCAAGTGCCATCTCATAGCCAACCCCTCCATCATGTTGCTAATGACCCTCTTTCACATCATCTTCTTGGTAAAAAAAAAAAAAAAACACAGTTGTTTGGAGTCCTCCCCTTGCCCACCCAAAAGAGGTCACGGAGGAAGAGAGCTGGAAGGAACGTGCGTTTGCCCAGGATGGCTGCGTCAGCCGGACTCCTCCCAGCTCCCAGTCCTGCGCTCCTCGCCCCGCCCCTCTTCTCCAGGGAGCCACGCCCCCTCCGCCGGACTGAACTTTGGGATCTCACTAGTCCCCTCAGCAAAATATCAGGTGGAAGCGGACCAGACTTGAATGCAAAGAACAATTATATAATTTACCTAAGTCCCAGAAATGCCAAGCCTCTGCTAGTCTCGTCTTCCCTTTCGTCCCTTTCCCTAACAAGCCTAGGAAAGTAATTCCACACAGCCTAGCAACTAAACCCACACATAACCTTTCGGCAACTAAGGGTGCTTTCTTCACACGCTGGGAGACTGACTGCAAACGTGGCTCCAGGATGAAATTCCTTTTGCTTCTCATTACAGTGTTAATGGGAGTGAGACTGTCAGATATATATGAATGACTATAGATATAACTAGACATGATACACACTTATGTCACTACATATACACATTATTAAATCATGTATATAAATTTTATATTATACAAATTAATATATATAATGTATTGATTTATATGATTTATATAATAATTTAATAACATGTTATATGATCATTAATAAGTAATAATAAGAGCATTATTGATTAAATAGTAATAATAACTGGGCTTCCCTGGTGGCTCAGACAGTAAAAAAAATCTGCCTGCAATGCAGGAGACCCAGTTCAATCCCTGGGTCAGGAAGATCTCCTGGAGAAGGGAATGGCAACCCACTCCAATATTCTTGCCTGGAGAATTCCATGGACAGAGGAATCTGGCGAGCTACAATCCATTGGGTCACAAAGAGTCAGACACAACTGAGCAACTAACACTTTCATTAATAGTAATTAAATAAAGGATAAAATAATAAATAGCAATCATATGTGATAAATAAATAATTGACTGTGTACATGCATGCATGCTAAGTCGCTTCAGTCATGTCCGACTCTGTGCAACCCCATGGACTGAAACCTGCCTGGGTCCTCTGTTCCTGGGATTCTCCAGGCAAGAATACTGGAGTGGGTTGCCATGACTTCCTCCAGGTGGATCAAAAAATAACTATATTTTATATGAATTATTAATAAATACTGTGTGCATACATGATATATGTAACTTAAATGGTGTTTGAGTAAACTCCTGGCGATCTGCAGTCTGTGGAGTCACAGGATTGAACACGGCTAAGGAACTGAACAACAACAAATTTAAACTGTGACCGTCCCCACCCCACCAGATGGCCAACGTTTTATTTTGGACACCTGATCTAAACTTATTCACCAGCTTCTTCCCCAAGGGAGCAGGCACTCACCACCTGAAGGGCTCTCGGTCTCCTCCAGTTGCAAGCAGCATCGTTGAGGCTGAGCCACTGGGAGCGAAATGTTCAGTCGGCCGGGCTGTCTCCCCTGCCTGCTGTGTGGCACCTTGACTAGTGACCAGAGGAGCCGGGGAGTCTTCCCTGGGAGGGAGCAGGGCTGGGCTGGAGCCCGAGAGCCCAGCCTGGATGTCTCCTCGGGCGCAGGGAATCCCTTCCCAACCTTCGAGGCAATAAGCCACCACCACCTCCTGAAGGCTGGTAATGGCGCTTTGCCTCTGGCTGAAAAGTCTCGGGTTAAGAGGTCCCGAACCCAAGCCCGTGCTGAACAAGCCACTATTTATTTCCGGTTCCAGCTCCCCCACTGTATTCACTTCCTAGGGCCGCCGTAGCAAACTTCCACAAACTGGGTGGCTTAAAACGACAGAAATGTATCCTCTCACAGTTCTGGAGGCCAGAAATCCAAGATCAAGGTGTCGGCAGGACCTCACTCTTGGCGAAGCTGGAGGCTCAAAGGCAAGACTGCTTCCCTCCGTCTTCCGCCTTCAGGCGCCCTCCCCTCGCTGGACCTGGACTGGCACACTCCAGCCTGCCTCCGTCTCCACAGGGCCGTCTCCACCCTGCGCTGTGTCTGTCTCCCCCTCCTCTCTCCTCAGGATGCCACTCACTGCACACGCCACTCATCGCACACAGGGCTCGCCCTCGGTCCACTGTGATCGAATTGCTAGATCCTTAACTTGGTTTTATCTGCAGAGACTCTATTTCTAAATTTTTTTTCCATTCACAAATGGAGGGGTTAAGACTTGTACATACCTTTGGGGTCCACGTTTCAACCCAGTATACTTTCCAAGGACTGTCTGGGAATTAGTGAACCCCCCCACACACCCCTCCCCACACTTATAGGCATAGAGAAATCCTCTTATCTAACGAGAAGCCCCTCTCAGCTGTTTCCCACCAACCAGGAGATACCTTGATGAAGCTGGATTTTTTGGTAAGGTTTGTGGTCATGCAGGGCACGTCCTGGACAAGAGAGTTATTTCTGCTGGGAGATGCCTGAAAATTCATCTGGAGTTTCTAGCGAACATTCCAACTGCCTGATTCTCTCTGTCCTTCCCCAGCTACCTTTCCTCCCTACATTCGGGCCATCTCACCACCCCCCACCCCCTCGGAGGAATGTAATGAAAAGTGAAAATGAACTAAAAGAGAAGAACTGAATCTGAACTCCAGGTCTGACACTTACTCCAGGTCTACATGGCCTTAGGCAAACCATTGCTTCCATTCTGAACTCGTCCACGCCACACCCCAACCAAGAGAGAGAACTGCCCCCTCCCTGACCTCCAACCCCCTTCCCACCAGAGGAAAAATTTACTGCTACTCAGTATTCACCCTGATGCAGCTCCCAGGTGCCAGACACCTCCATCTAAGGGAAAGATGAGTCATGCCCAAGTCCTGCCCACAATTCAAAAGCCACCTAAGTCATGTCCCTCTGCCTGCTTCTCATCCTAACTCCCCGAACCAAGGAACAGCACCTGCCCCCTGGCCTCAGATAAACACTGGGCCATATTTTCAGCTGATTATCCCCCCTCTCCTACCAGATGTTCAGGATTGTTCCATCATCTCAGTATCATCTCACACCTGTCAGAATGGCTATCATGAAACAGACCACAAATAACAAGTATCAGAAAGGACATAAAGAAAAGGGAAGTTCTCTTGCACTGTTGGTGAGACTGTAACTTGGTACAGCCACTGTGGAAAGTAGTATGGAGGTTTCTTTTTGAGAACTAGAACTACCATATGGCCTGGCAATTCCACTCCTGGGTATGTATCTGAAAAAAACAATACTGCAGTAATTAAAAGATACAAGTACCCCAATGTTCATAGCAGCATTATTTACAATTACCACCTAAATGCCTCCCAACAAATGTGATACATATACCCCATCTTATTTAGATATTCTTTATATATATATATAATATATATAATACACTTAATATTAGATTTATATTTTTATATATGTATCTCCTCCATGTATGTGTGTATATATTTATATCTTTTATATGCAAGTGTGCTAAGTCACTTCAGTCCTGTCCAACTCTTTGCAACCCTGTGGACTGTAGCTCACAAGGTTCCTCTGTTCATGGGATTCTGCAGGCAAGAATACTGGAGTAGGTTGCCATACCTTTCTCCAGGGGATCTTCCCAACCCAGGGAATGAATTAATGTCTCCTACTTTTGCAGCCAGGTTCTTTACCACTGAGCCATAGACAGACAGACAGATCAGTTCAGTTCAGTTGCTCAGTCATGTCTGACTCTTTGCAACCCCATGAACCACAGCACGCCAGGCCTCCCTGTCCATCACCAACCCCCGGAGTTTGCTCAAACTCATGTCCATCGAGTCAGTGATGCCATCCAGCCATCTCATCCTCTGTCGTCCCCTTCTCCTCCTGCCCCCAATCCCTCCCAGCTTCAGGGTCTTTTCCAATGAGTCAACTCTTTGCATGACGTGGCCAAAGTATTGGAGTTTCAGCTTCAGCATCAGTCCTTCCAATGAACACTCAGGACT